ACCGCTCTTTTATATTTTCAATGCATCTTAGATACAATGTGTTACTAGCTGCTTTATAAAATCTGTTGAGTTAAAATTAGTATAAAATAGTCTAGTGTATTGTAGCATGAGGTAATCTACTATGATTACTTCCAAAGGCTTGCATGAGCCTTACATTTTGAGATTAATGAACAGAATAGCTACAAATGGAGCCTTGGCTGTTTAGTTCACTATCCACAAACAGGAGAAAAGGCCCATTGCTGCAGCACTCCCTAACATTTCACTAACTTCAGTAACTTGAAGAGGTATCCCTGCAGTTTCTAGGATGAGGCCTGATTTTTCTTCTACACAGGAACTCTCTCTGCTTATTTGGAAAGGCATTGGCAAAACAACTAAAGGGCTTTAAGTGCCCAGCTCCTACTAATTGCTTTTGTTTAACTTGAGGCTTTGAAGGTTACTGAGAGAAGCAAGCATAAGAAGGAAAACATAGTAGCATTTATCTTAAAATTTGGTATAGGGAATAGTGTTGTAGATAAATTGTGCCCACTCTGTGCAGTGTTCAGGGAAAGGGACTCACAAATGTTGTTGCTGTTTCTGTAGAATATGATTCTTTTTTTACTCTGTTATGTTCCTCACCACTTCCTAGGATCCCCTTGGAGATAATTAGATATCATGCTGAAACTCCTTCACACAAACTGAATTTTGAAGAAAGGAAGCAGCTGGATGAGGATGTGTCTGTTGCTGAGGTTGAGCAGTCAGCCCGTGCCCTTGAACAAAGCCCCTGATCTCAAAGGACTTTCTACTGAAATATAAGAATATTTCCAGTATATTTTGGAAAATTCTGTAACTGTAAAGTTGAATGAATCATCCACATCAGTTTTACATCTGCTGTTAACTCAGTTAATAGCCACATATTAAGAAATAAGAATGACAGTTGTGTCTCCTGCAGAGCCATCTCATTACGCAGTAGAGATACTAAATTGCTTTCTAAACTGTAAGTCTGAACAATTCTTTCCAATTTTGTTCATTAAGGCTGAACTGCTTTCACATGGAAAGAACATGACTTACATATTGGAAGAATACACATAATAGCATACTATATGCTGTATTCAGTATAGAATCTGTTTTATCATCTGAGTATAGAAATAGCTTGTGGTCATGTACAGTGCAGCTATCATGGCATAGTAACCAAGAAATAAATTTATCTTAGTATATTAACATTAATCTTTTCCTTGGATACAGTACTAATCAAAGACAGTTAACTGAATATAATAATTATGTACAGAATCTTGAAGACTAATCTGATTCTCAGATATACATAACCTCACATTCAAAATGAAGGCAGAAACTCCAAGCTTGTCTATACCTATAGTAATGAGCTTCCAGAGTTTTGAATAGAATATTCAGTGTACTTCTATAAGTCTGAATTTTTTTATGCTTATTACCTGCTGTTTACTTAAATTGGTAAGTAGGAATTACCTGCTGACAAAAAACAATTAAACTATACCTGTGAATGTAGGCAGAATTTAAAGCAACCATATTTTTTCTCACCCCATCAAACAGCAGCATGTGCTGTGCTGATTGACCGTGGCATCTAGCATGAGTCCAAGGACAGCCTCATGTCTGTAGCAGAAAAATCAATTGTTCAGCCAGTCAGTTTCCTTAGCAATAAAATAAATCTATGTGGTATATAAAGAATAAAATACTTAGAAATATTAGGGCTGGTTTTGTAATTATCTCAAACGTAGATGCCTATTTCTTGCAGCTTTGCGTTAGGTAGGGAAGACCATAGAGGCACTAAGGTTGGAAAAGACTTCCAAGATTGTCAAGTCCAACCATCACCCAACACCACCATGACCACTAAACCGTGTCCCAGTGCCACATCTACACATTTTTCTATCCTGTAGTAAATTACAGTTCTTTATGAGACTGAAAAGGAAAGATAGTGTTTTAATTTATTTGATGACTGTTAGGAGACATGACACCAGGGATGACAGTTACCAGCAGTATCTTGATAAATTGCCTGTGCACATAGGTCCACAAATGCTGTGGGATCTGCAGCTGTAACAACATGTACCAGTGCTATGACCTTTGAAGTACGCCTTAAAGATAATGAGTTATTCTTCCATGTACATGCTGGGTTGATAAAACAAATAAGTATTCTCAGAAGATTTGATTTAACCCATTCTCAAATATCAGAACATACATCTCTCCTCCATTCTGAATTTTGGAAGCTTGCACTTTACCTAGTGCTTCTTGCATTCGCTTTCCAGATCACGTGAATGGTCACTGTACAAGCCCAACATCCCAGAGCTGCAGCTCAGGAAAACGACTTTCCAGTGCAGACGTCTCAAAAGCAAACCGGCGAGGGCCTGGGAGGCCCCCCTTCAGAAAAGCCCAGTCTGCAGCCTGCATGGAGATTTCTCTCCCAGTCACCACAGAAGGTGGGTGGCAATGACTATTTTGCTAGGTATTTGTGGATTTCTCACCAGGTGTGAAAGCAAATAAGTTCAGCATGCTTCTTGTCCTAGTCACTGCCCTGAACTGCTGTCTTCATCTGACCGTTTAGGATGAACAACCACACTGTGTTAGAGTTGCTAATAACAAGCCTACTCCAGAGCTGGGTGCTGCCTAGGGATGCCTTATGCTAAACCTCACCAAACTCCCACAGCCATCCCCTGCCCTGCATGGACTAGGTGCTTTGTTCAGTCACAGCAGCTTAGGCACACTTACTGTGACAGAAAGCAATACTAGCATCCTAAACTCTCATTGTCTCTACTTATCAAGCCTGAAAATGAGTGAGATATGTTTAGAATGTGAGTTCAAGCCTTGCACATATTTATTTACTTATTAGTACTGAAGACTATAAAATTCCACAGTCCCTGGCCACCGTTTAGGGTTAAATTGTATTGTATTTATATTAAGTTTCTTGCTTTAATGCCTGAAAAAAGTCTTTAAATCTTGACCTACCTGAGCGCAGAGTCTCGGTGAAACAGAGGTACAAAATAGACTGCTCATGGCAATGCATTGTGCTTAAAACTTGGAATAAGGCCATTATCATTTCAGCAGTGCCAGCTATTTCACTGCAGACCATACAAGCGGACGCATTCAACTGATGTGTTTTTCTTCAGTGTTGATAGTATTCCCACTCTGCTGTTGGTGTTCTTGACCCTGGTCTCCCATTCTTTCAGCTCCCCCACACTCTTGCAAGACCAATCCATTGTCTGTGCAGAAAAGGTTCAGTCTATCAATAACTGAAAAGCAATAGCATCAAAAAAAAATGATGTAGGATTGTAGCGTAGACTGTATTCAATTTTAGCAATAGGCAAAAATTTAATAACATTTAAACAAAATAATTATAGAATGTAATATTTTAATTCTATATACTTAATTTAAACAATTAAGTCTTTTTAAATTTTAATTTTAATAAAGTTGGATAATGATTTCCTAAGGGTCTAAGAGATAACAGCCATCCAATAGTCTCTGTTGTCTGGGCTGCAGCGTGGCTGTGATGCTGTCCGTGATAGGCAATTGACAACACCCTGACCCTAGCCCTCTGTCCTGCAAGGAGCACTGGTACCCTGACCTGCCCAAAGTTCTTTACGATGGGAACCAGTAGTCCCTAATTTTGCTAATTTTTAATAGAGACAGAGCAAAGGGATCACTCACAGCATCTAGTTTTGTAATTTTAAATGCAAAATATTGCTAACACCTTTGTTACTAGTGGCAAATTGATAGAATCTTTGGTTCTTTTTTTTCTTTGCAATGACATAGAATATCAAATGCTTTTTTGGCCCTTCTGACTACCTATACTATATGTGGAACCCTGTAAGAAAACATCATAATTTGGCACAGAGGGTTTCACAATTATGTTCTTGCCTGGAATGGAGCTGATATCCTCCATTCTGTTGCAGTGTCCTCTAGCAGCTCCTTCCATTTGATTTAGGAACAGCATTTACATGCATTGATTCAGGGGACAGAGAACAAGCATGGTCAGAAGCTCTCTGCACAATGGCTGTGCTCACTGAAGGTGTGTTGCCATCTTCCAGATGTGCCATTAGGTCTCTGGGAGAAGTCATCTCCCATTGCCAGAGACCAGACACCAAAACGGATACTGGTGGAAGACAGGTACTTTGAGCTGTTTGTTTCTGCTTAAATACAGAAACACTTAGCTTAAACTGCTTTCTGTATTGGGTTCCAACTCCCTTTTCACTGAAGCAAATGTGAATTGCCTGTGTGATCTATTCTTCTGACTTTACTAGACAAGTACTGACCTTCTGCAGAGGAACAGGGTCAGAGACACAGCGAGCAGTGACACTTCAACTGACTGCTCTTCCTTCAGTGACCATCCAACCGTCAATCCTTTAGAATAATGTTACAGTATCGTGGACTCTTCAAAGATTAATTCATGGGCTCAACACTGCGTTGTAGGCTTCATATAACATACGACAAAGTGTAATCCTCAGCAATTAGTTATAATAAGTAATCCCATTTAAATACTAAGCCTACTATAAATTTCAATTTTAACTCGGATTAATTAATAGCTCCTGTGTGAACATTGTACTAAAGCAGATTTACAGAGCTGTCAGGTGTTTATAAAGTCCTAGGGAGTTTTCACCTGCATAATCACCATTTTTTCCCTCCACATCCATTATTGATGATGAACATAACATAACCCTTTCATCTACCTTGCTTTATGCACCACGCAAATATGGTCAGTACCACTGGCATATAATAGCTTCTGATGGAAAGTGTATTACTGCCTCAGTAGTTTCTACTGCTGCGTGTCTTTCTTCATCCTATGTAGTTCCAAACTCTTCTGCAATTCTTGTATGCAGATACTGCTGCAATATCAGCACTACTCGTACACAACCAGGCCACAGTACTAACTAATTCTTTTATGCTGCTGCTTTTCTTTTTTCCTCCCATTCTCCCAGAGGGAGTGGAATAACTGACAGGCAGAACCTACAACTCCCTAAGGTCCCACTGACCCTTGTGTACAAAACATTTAGTAATACAGTTATACTTTTGATGGCATGACACTTTCTGCATAGTCACATCATGAAGGATTCACTTTCTGTTCTTCATCACTAATTAGAATACTTATCAAGTTTAATATTAACGTATAAAACTTTCTAGAGATAGTTGTCTAAGTTCTTTTCAGGGACACAGAGTAAATTAAAGTAAGTGATTTTTAAAAAAAAAAAAAACTAACCCTTTATGAACTTATCAGTGGTGTAACTTAAATGGTATTATAATTCTCAATAAGGTCAGTGAAATGACTGTTTCAAGACAGAGCCAGACAGCTTTTGGAGTAATTTATATTAACATGTAATATGATGGAGCACGGTTTGGCTTTGTCCTTGAGTGTGTAGGTTTGTGTACAAGTCACCTTTCAGCAGGCCTATAGACTAAAATAATTTTCTGATTATTTATATTCTCTCATTAAAACAAAGCCATCTGTCCAACTTGTCTAAACCTTCCTTTAGATGCCTGTGGTGTTAATGTTTTGACTTCTAGCTCTACCAACGGATCTGTCTGGAATGACTGACATTCCACTGTTCTTCACGCATCTTGAATTTCTAGACATATTGTTTTGGCAAGTGGTTTGATTTATTTCTGAAGGCTTTTATGCTAAATAATATGGTGGAAGGGGGTATTAAAAGATTCTTGGGCTGGGGGTAAGGAGGAGAGTGAAGGAGAAGGAAGATGAGAAATTAAAAGTCTTGAGAAAAAATATACTGAGAATAAGCATTCTCTCCAAAATGTGCAATTGACTTTAATCAAAACCTAGTTGGGCTGTTCCAAAATAAAATGAAAAAATCTCCTCTGCGCTGAGAACTTATTGGCTACTTAGGAGTATATGCTGCAATAAATAATAGATGTATTGACAAGAAATGATTTTTTTTTATGTTCTCATGTGGTGAATCGAGATACATATTTTATGTCCTTGCTAGAGAAGTAGTATTTCAGGTTAGTGTTTTGTAGGATTGGATTTTATTATTCTATGTGAGTAGAATTTTGCTTAGCGATTGCTATCTCAGTAGTGTTAAGCACTTTTTATACATTAAAAAAAAAAAAAAAGCCTTTGTGTGTGGGTAGATGGTTCTTACCTTTTCTTAAGCCTGTCTCAAGCATTGATAACATTTGGAGACTTTTTAATAATGCTTCCACTTCCTGCTCTTTACAACCTCTTCTAAATGAATTGATTAAAAAAAATTTACATTTTGGTGTCTAATCACAAGATATCTATTAGAATAACAAATCAGTCTTCTCCAGTCACATTGGATTTCAAAATCTACTTATTTAAATATCTGATCATCTGGTACGATAGGCACTGAATTTCCAGCATTTTCATCAAGTGTATTTTCAAGCAACTTTCACACAATAAATTCTTCTAACTTCATTCCTATTAGCTGATTGTCAAGATTTTGCTGACTCTTACCTCTTTACACGTGCAGGATTCCTGATATAGAAAAGCATTTTTTAAGAACGGCTTTGCAAGGATGAATCATAGGAAGAAAATGGAAGGAGTTTGGGGAGATTGTGTCTTGTATTCTGCTGGTCAAAATATTGCAGACTGTTCAGTTTCATGAAGTGCTGATATTTCTTCCACACTCACAAAAGAATAATTCAAAAGCCAAATAATAGTAGCAGGCAAGTGGTCTCTATATGTGCATGGATACTGTTGCTGCTTAAACCTCTATCTTTTCCAGTAGCCACATCTAACGTGGAAAAACTTGAAAAGCTCTGAAGTATTTTAAACTTTAGATTTATTCCACGCTAAAGATTACTGCTATTTCCTTTTAAGTCTGGGAGGGCATGTCCCCAAAAACACTGGTATCTAAATCAAATAGCTTGTTACGGTTATATTTTTGTCAATAATTTCCAGACATTTAATATAATACTTCTCAAATACAATTTATGCTATTTAAAATGTTACTTGTTGTCCTCTAGTATCTTCTGGCTTCCAAAATGCAGTATTCTCACAGCTATACTGATAAATTCTGTAGTTGCTCAATATTGTATTTCTAATTTTGGCAAGAAACTGGAACTGCATGAGTCAGTAATAACATATTGTTGCTTCCAAACAATCTTGTTTTCACGCACTTTTGATTAAGTTTTCTTCCTTGCAATAATACACAAGAATTTATTTGCATTGTAAACAAAACCACATATATAGGAAATTCCACTGCTTAACTTCTAAATTCTAAACTTCTCCTAGTCCTTTTTGACCAGAAGTCTTTGATAGTTTAGGAATAAGCAATTATATTCCTTTGATAAGGCTTTCTTGTACAGAGTATAAGCTACTTCTTTTTATTATCAAATTAGCATTGTGCTTTTAAATATCAAGAGCAATTAAAATACACAAGAATGCAAATTATTCTTGGTCAAGAAAATCCTTACAGAGATTCTGTCCCATGATAGCATTCTGTAGAAAGGG